AGGCAATAGTAAAAATTACCACAAAAACACAGTAAAAAAATAAGCCAAAACCGGAGTTGATTGAGGTAAGACGATAACAATTGTTAAGACACATGCCTACCTACCATGTACAACAGACTAGGAGAGCAAAAAGGCCAAAGACGGTTTTGGATCATGACTTGGAAAATCCACCAAAACCTCCCGAAAAATAATTCGCTGAGGGTTGTAGTAAGAGCAACTTACTCCTGAAGCTGGAACATTTTTTAAAGCCTTGTGTCCTATATGACTGTATAGAGAACGAAAAGACGATGTTATTTAAAGTGATTTGATGCTTGGGGGCCACCTCAAACTTAACGCAATTTTACTTCGAAGTTGAAGTAAAATAAGATCAAAATCTAAATTTCCATCTTTCCTCGGATCAAATATCTCACGATCGTCTCCACATACAACTTGGTGATTCACAAAAATAAAACATCAACATCTTAAGACTAACCTTCAAGGTTTGTTGTCTCATGTGTACATTTTGATCTTCAGTAAATCAAATCTCAAACTTCAAGTTTTCGGGCTTTTTTCGCGTTTTGTTCGCACTTTGATCATTAAAATATCCTCAACTGAAGAGCCAGCACACACCACGAGTATCCACAGAGTTAGAAATGTTGGTTAACTTGTCATACTCCTTCATCCATCTTCCAAAATTATTACAAAAAGGTGGCGATCGTCCAGTTGAAACCTCGCAGAAACGCGTCGAAAACTTCACCAATGGCGCCGAATACGAAAAGCCAGTTCCATTCGCGCATGCGCAGACAAAATGCCTCTCTACTCTGCGTTTTGCAATTCTAATGAGAAAGATGGATTATTCTCAAGGCCATTGAGTACTTTTTTCGATTTGGGAGCTCAAAATGTTTTTCGTTAAACTTTTATCATATACCTCTGGCTTTTCAAAATTAAAACCTATCGTTTTTCAGTTTAAGCCTTGAATGTTCAAGAGAAAATAGGCTCCAAAGGGATGTTGATAAAGGTTAACCGTAACGGACAAAGCAGAGTCTCAAATCACGCGAACAAGGCCGGATTCGAATGTGGACATACATACGTGGTACATCATCAACGCCTAATGAAAAGGTTACTGTTCATATTTGTTTGTGCTTTCATTTAGAGGAGGAATTAGAGGTGCTGGGGCCTTGAATGGCTGCTCAGTTCATACTTTGCTTACTGCTTACTGTTTATTTACTTATTTTCGTTTTTATGGATGAGTGTGCCTGTACAAAATCATTCAACAGACAACGTATTGTTCTTTGAGCATCGTGAGCAAGCAGTGCAGTACTGATTAATTTTACCGCTTGACTTTTGCTCAGGCGTTCGTGCTTGTCCGGTTCCTTTGTCTTGTTTTTCAAGTTTCGCTCCAAAAAGAACGGAATCCCGCTTTTGAAAGCTTGTCAGGCTACCTGTTCAAAGCGACACTTTCATTGGTTGACACCCCTAAAAATCCTCTATGATTGGTCAATCTATTATGAATGACGGCATGTAGTCCAATTCAAGTATCATACTTGCGAAAACTTGCTATATACGAAATAACGTGGAAGATGTAAACATGGCGAACGTCCTCAGGGTTGGTAGTTTACTACGTGGAATATTTCGAAGCAGTAGCGTTAAAATCAGTCGTAAGCGTTGTGCTTTTCTTTCTACCACTTCGTGGCGCCATGGAAGCTCAGATTCGAGGTAGATTGTTCATAAGTAAGATCCTAAATTAGGATGACGATGAGAATGAAAGCATTGTATGCATCAGGGTCCTGTGTAATTAGCTAGAAGCTAAGTAACCTACAAGTTTAAGTGGAGAAAATATATCAGATGAATAATCAGACTTAAAATAAATACACGTAAATGCAAAATATACTTTCATGATATACGTAATTTCAATTCAAAATTGTACGTCGTAGTTCTTTCACAACCATTGTCGCAGGCATTGTGAGGAGTCTTTGATCAGTGGTCGCGTAACAATCATCAGTTTCCATGTGATTCTATAAATATACTAAAATTGTCGTCAAGTTCTCTAGATCAAGTCGAGCAGTGAGTTATGTTTCAAGTTAAGAAATATTTATGCGATGCTCATCGCATGTAGGACTGAAATGTTTCGTAACAATTTTGTTCTCATATATAGCTTAAACAATTATTGCACACCTTTTTTAACAGCTTCATAACGATAAATGTTTTTAAAAGCTAAGAAGACGTCATAGAAGCAGTGCAACTTGAAAAAAGTCCCTTGATCGCCTCTGATAAATGTGGATAAACAAATATTTTTTGCTTTCCTTGATGAAATTACCAATTGAAATCGAATTTTGGTAAGAGGCATTGCTATCTGACAATCTAGCCTTAGTGAAATTTAAAAAAAATCTCAATTGTTCATGAAAAAGTGACATTGCTTTTAATGTGGTATGCAGTACTTTAATATTAATTTTTCCATTTTAGTTCATCTAAACTGAACAAACGTTTGAAGGAAGATGCAGAAGTTGTTATCATTGGGGGTGGTGTACTGGGCACCAGTATTGCATACCATCTGGCCAAACAAGGCATGAAGGATGTTGTGCTCTTAGAAAAATCAGAATTAACAGCGGGATCAACATGGCATGCTGTAAGTAGATTGCATATTTGTGTAAGGGTAAATCATAGCATGTTGAACTGTAATTACATATAGAGTCGAAAAAAATTACTGATGGACTTGCATTAAGTATAGGGCATCCAGCAGTAGTCAACCATCTTTCTTCAGTTTACGGTGCTGGCATACTGAGCCTTCTCGCACACAGGTGCCTGTCACTATCTCAGTGAAGAGTTCTTGGCAGATGAGTGGGAGAGTATCTGGCTGCAAAATCAGAAGACGTGGGGGTTGAATCCCTTGGGGGGGGGGGCACTCGTGCTTGTGAAAAAATAACATCTTTCTGTTTTCACATCTGTTAACAGGCTGGGCTGACAACATATTTCAACCCTGGAATAAATGTCAAACATCTTCACTATTACAGCATTCAGCTTTACTCAAAATTGGAAGAAGAAACAGGGCAGGTAATCAGGATTTCACTGTAAATGTTTGCAAAAGAATTATCCAATTTCAGATTTTTTTGTCAAAAGGTTGCTTTTAAGATAAAATGATTATATATTTTTTTGTTTAGTTTGAATAAAATTTTCTAAACCTTTGACTCGTAAGATTGACTAGAATGGATGGCACATCAATGAATCACACTCCAAAGTCTCGACAATAAAGGAAAATATTACCAACTAAAGAACCTCTTGATTATTAAACAAATTCTCTGTAGGAATTGTATTGAGAACAGTATGAAGAGAAAGGCATTATGATGTTACAGTCTACAGGGTTAATGAAAATGTTGATGAAAGGCTCCTGTGATCACAACAAGTAATAAATTCATGGTGATATTTCTCCTAGAATGTAGGATTCCACACACCAGGCAGTTTGCGGCTGTGTACAACACCTGAACGCATGGATGAAGCTAAATACCAGATGCAGAGACATGGATGGCATAAGGCTCCACAGTGGCTGGTTACTCCAGATGAGATTGCAGAAATGCATCCACTATTAAAAATGGATGATGTTTTGGGAGGCTTATTCAATCCTGGTTAGTTTTACTTCGGCAACAGTAACCTAAGATGATTTACAGTCTAACCTGTATCAAGCAGCACCTTTTTAAGAGGTCACCTTGTATGAAGCAGTTCAAAAGTCCTGAAATTTTTACCCCTCAATTGTTGTGATTTTTACCCCTATTAAGTAATTGTGATCACCCTTTACTGCAGCTTTACTATGACTGCCTGTATTGTATTGAATTTTCACTCAAAGTGGAACCAAATGTGATCTTTGAAGTAAAATTTAACCCATATTTATCTCCCAAAATTATTGTTCTTAGTATTTTTGTGTAAGTCTGCACATTAAGTGTTTAATTATGGCATATAATGATGTTTTTATCGTTTCTTTATAATATCCCTGTAGTGTGGAACCTATATTAAGGGGTCAGCCTGTGTCAAGTGGCCAACATGCCATTGGCAGTGGGTGATCACTTGATACCAGTTTGACTGTAATTAACCTTGTAGATAAGCATGCTCAGTTCTTTATTCGCTTTATATAGATGTGATGATGGTCAAGTATGTAATTTTATAATGGATTAAATTATGTTTAACTTTATCAGATGATGGCCACATTGATCCTTACTCATTGACGCAAGCCTTGGCAATTGGAGCAAGAAATTATGGAGCCAGTCTTTACCTGCCAGCACCTGTGACGGGACTGAATCACAGAACTGATGGCTGCTGGGATGTTCGCACTGAACATGGAAACATCAAAGCCAAGCAAGTGGTCAATGCTGCAGGTACTAAAGATGGAAATGAAAATGTTTGCATGAAATGGTCTTGTTTCATTTAGCTTCAGAACACTTAACAACTGTAATTGTTGTTCTAACCCTTTGACTTTTAAAAGTGATTAGCATTTAATTTCTTGTCACATTATCATCCCTAAATCAAGCACATGGTCAGGAGATTAAAAGAAATGATCACCAATGAAAGAAGTCCTTGACTGTTAAACAAATTCTTTTAATCAGCACCTTAAGGAATGTACAGATAACAATGGACAATATGCTTACTGATGTTGGGGCTCACAGATGTAAAAATTAGTGGGATGAGAGAATTCCCCAATCTCTGTATAAATTATATCTTGAGCTGCTTGATAAGGCTTGTCACTATGATGATCCACTGATATTTTCTGTGAAAACAGTACTATGTTCTCATAAGTATTTTAGGGTGTGGAGCCAACTTAATTTTGTGGGGTTTGAGGTCCCATAGCAAGTGATTTGAAATGTAATGCATTTACAGCATGATAGTAAATGCTAACCAGTGGTTATTGAATTTTACTTTCATTTGTTATGCTATTTCCTAATACTTATACACTTTATTGTTGTTAAATTTAGGGTTCTGGGGTCGGGAAGTTGGTCAAATGGCAGGACATGAGCTTGCAATGGCAGCCATTCACCATCAGTATGTTGTCACGTCTACCATTCCTGAAGTTGCAGCTCTTAAGCATGAGGTACCTGTCATCAGGGATCTTGAAGGATCTTACTACTGTAGACAGGAGAGGAAAGGCTTGTTATTTGGACCATATGAACTTCCAGAGAAGATGAAATTGCAGGATGAATGGTATTTGACTTGTACTTTATTCGCTCATGTCTTGCACACCAAACTTTTCAGATCAATGTCAGTGTTTGAACAACTATGCACCTTCCCCTCCCCTCCCCTCCCCTCCCCTAACCCAACAACAGTCAATCAATAACAAGTTAGGTCAAATGTTGGGCTAGGGGAGGGGTGGGTGAACAGTTGTTCAGATACTTACTTAAGTCTAACCTTGCCTTGATCAACATTATTTAATATTCCATTCAAAGTTATGAAGTTTGGTTCAGTTTGTTTGTGGTTCTTCACTATGTGAAGAACCACAGCCTTTTTATGACTTGCAGCAATTTTTTAAAGAAGAATTATTTCCAGCATCAAAGGAATTAAATGACTATTTACAACTTCATCAGGTGGGATGGTGTGACACCAGGATTTGGGAAGGAACTCTTTGAAAGTGACCTAGACAGAATCAGTGATAATGTTGCTGTGGCAATGGAACGCATTCCAGTACTCGCAGATGCAAATATTGCAAGTGTTGTGTCAGGTCCTATAACTTACAGTCCTGATGTCAGTGCTATAATTGGACCTGCATTTGATGTGCCTAATATGTGGCTGGCTGTTGGCACTGGTTATGGCATTATCCATGCAGGTACATGCATGCTGATACAAAGTACATGCAATGTGAAAGTTACTCTCTGTTTCTAGATATTTTTCCTGGTTACCATATGTTTATTCACTTAGTTGAACTCACCAGCTGCGTGACTCTTATGCTTGCAATGTTTCCCTCACAATTCACTGGTACCCATTTCTACTTCCGGGGGGAGAGAGTAAGAACACAAAACAATTACCTGGGCAGATCTCAAACCTGCATATTTCAACCCAGAGTCCGGGGCATTTACCATCATAGTTGAACCATTTTGTTTTGATAGTGACTTGATAGCACACAGGTCTAAATTAATACAGCTCCATGTACCTCAAGTCAATGCAATGGAGTTTTTTAAATTTTGACCTAAGGTGGCATTGGTAAATACATTGCGGATTGGATGCTGGATGGAGAGCCACCTTATGATTTAACTGAACTAGATCAGGGTCGCTATGGCAAGTGGACATCAAAGGAGTATGTAATGGCTAAAACGAGGGAATCATATGGCTTGAATAACCAACTTGGTCATCCTAAACTTGAAAGGCCTGCAGGGCGACCTGTCAGAAAGAATGCTATTTTTGAGGTAGGGTTTGACTCTAGATAATTGTAACAGCTGACTTGAAGCCAAAAAGAGCAAATTAAGTTATCATGAGGGACCAAGAAGAATAGAAAGTAAAAACAAGAAGACTGCTTGTGACACGGGAAATGCAGCTAATACTCTGCTCAAACAAAAGTGATCAATTTGCTAATTTGTGTGTTGCTCGATAGTATCCATGTATTGTGCTAAGACCTGGATTCTCGTATCCTCAATTTGTCGGGTTGATAAACAGTACTCAAACCAATAAATAATGTTATATCTTTCAAACTTTGATACACGCTTTATTTATTTGCAGCGTCTTGTAGAACGAGGTGCAGAAATGGGATTCCACGTGGGTTGGGAGCAGCCAAACTGGTTTGCACTGCCAGGCGATGAGGGTGGTTACAAGCCGAGCTTTAGGAGAACAAACTGGTTTGAGCCGGTTGGACGAGAGTATGACTTAGTTCTCAATAAAGTTGGTATTATCGATCTGACACCATTTGGAAAGTTTGAAGTGAAAGGAAAAGATGCTTCAAAATTCATGGATATAATGGTTGCTAATGTTTTACCCAAGGTAAAGGACGGAAGGTCTTGCTGCTAGCCAGATTTCGTTGGTGAAGTTTGGACATATGTTTTCAGTTGCTACAGACACTGTGTACTTTTTCGTTACCATGTTCGCGGGCACGTAATTTGACCAAAATAGAAGAAGCTTTTTTGGCAAACTTAAATTTCTCACGTTGAAAGAGAACTGTCTTTAAAGGAAGTGAATTCTGCTGAAACTCACTGAATGCCGCCGATCAGAGTTGTCTCATTTCACTGATTTTTTTAAAGCCTGAATAAACAGATTAATCATTTAACAAACATTTTAAAATACTTTGTACCGGAGCAAATAACTCACAATTTTCGTGTCTTTTCCATTTCAAGTACAAAGCCACACGGTATACCCTAAATGTTACTCGCAACAGAACAAAACCCATGCCATTTTCACGTGAAACAAATCTATAAACCTGAGTATGAGTTTATGAACGAGTAAGTTCCATAAGCATTTTCCCCGCACCTTTTTCTAGCGCCTGTCTTTGGGCAATCGAGAACTTGGAAAATGCAGCAAATGAGTTACGATGCAGAACGAACTGTATAAAAGGTTTGAGATTTCTCGTTCCTTTGTAGGTCGGCTGCACCAACATCAGCCACATGTTAAGTCCAAGAGGCCGAGTATATGCTGAGCTGACTGTATCCACCGTATCACCTGAAGAGTATTTCTTGTTGACAGGAAGTTCCACAGAATTTCACGATCTCAGGTTAGTGCGGCGCTTTAAGTTATGGTAACTACATTATGTTTGTAAAGTAAAATTCATAGGCATCTGTATTGATCAACAACAAAAACTGTGCAACTTAGTAGTCAGTCAGTTGTTTAAAACAACTTGATGAATAGATAGGTGGACGTCGCAGAGGGGGATCCAACTGTTTATCGTGCCAAGGCTCTGCATTCGTCATCGTTTACCGCTCCCTCCTCACCAATCTCCATCTTTCTTTTATTATAAATAGAAACTAGATTATGCGCTCTTTCCACTGCAAGAAGCGAGGAAAGGGATATTTGTTAAAAATACTTGTTTTGTTTTCCAATCATTTGTAGATGGTTACAAGATTATGCCAGGAAAGGGAATTTTGACGTCACTATTGAAAATGTAACAGATAATATCTCCGTGTTGGGTATTGCAGGCCCTTACTCCCGCGGCGTCCTTTCCAAACTTACCCCCACAGATATGAGCCACAGCCAGTTTAAATTCCTGACATTTAAGGACATGGAACTAGCTGGTCTCCCTGTACGTGCTATGAGAATTTCGTACTCTGGTGAGTGAGAGCGTTAGCCAGTGGAACTCTGATCTGGACTTCTTGACCAGAATGTCTTTGAGTATTTTCAGGTTTGACTGTACTAATTTCGTTGCCTCGTTTAACAAATTACAAGTGTTTATGAAATGTTCATTGTAGGTGAACTCGGTTGGGAGTTATACCACAAGAATGAACACACAGCCGAGCTGTACGAAGCTCTTTTGAGAGCTGGGGAGGAGTTTGGCATTGGAGACTTTGGTACTTATGCCATGACGGCGCTGAGGATTGAGAAAGGATTTAGGGCTTGGGGACAAGAGGTACACTGTGTGTTTCAATTAAATCTCTCACTAGCCGAGCATCCTCTGGCCACGCTCTGGATATGAGGCGTAATCATGTTAATCTGATTCCTTTTTGTCCGTTTGGTATTTTTTTTTTTTTTTGTAGTGGTCCTCGTTGAGACCTTTCCGACGTCCTCTTTACGTCTTATGAAAAAAAAAGACGCAACCAGTAGCGGTTCGCCTGTTCCTGGCAATCGGTTTTTTTTAGGACGAGTGATAAGAGCTAGAGAGCAAAAAAGAGAGGACTAAGGAGAGGAAAGAAAGGAACCCTTTCTTTCTTTACGTGACTTCTGTTGAAAATCCCACTGGGCTTTTCTCACCCTATTGTCTGTCTCCGCTGACCGAGAGATTGGTAAGGGTTAGAAACTAAATAGTCACATGGTATTTCTGTAAAGAAAAATTGTTTTCATCATCTCATTTTCCATCAGATGAATATGGACACCACCCCTCTGGAGGCTGGCTTGGATTATTTCGTCAAATTTGACAAGGTAAACTAAACGCTGACGTAAATTATCGTGATATTACATGTGGCGACTGAACTTAAGCTTTTTGTTCACAGGGTGTGGACTTCATTGGGCGACAAAGTTTACTTCAACACAAGGAGAATGGAATCGAGAAGAAACTCTGTATGTTGACGGTTGACACAACTGATGCGGATCCTGAAGGAAATGAAACTATTTGGTTTGGAGGAAAAGTATGTTACTTGTGAACTACTATTGTTCTCGTTTCCTTTTTCACTCTCCGAAAATGTTTATAAAACCTATCTCTGGTAAAGATATTTCACAACTTATGATCGCACGATTCTATTTTACATCAGTACCTTATTGATTCAGTACAAGTGGTTTTTTTTCTCCATCAATAAGCCGTAAAAGTTTATTCGATCAGGAAAAAAGGAATCTTCGGACCTTAAAATTTCTCTGAGTCACAAAACAGCGCCTATGGTTTTCGAAAATCGCGTAGCCTTATGGTCCATCTGACAAAGTTTTCTACCACCTTCCTCGTCTTTTTATGTCTACCCTCTAAGTCCTACCACATCATTCCCCATCCCCCTTTCACCATTTCTCAAATCATATTCCTTAGAATCGTATCTCTGTGAACTTCTCACTAAAGCAAACCTCTTTGGCAGGTTGTTGGTAACACGACGTCTGGTTCGTACAGTTACAGACTTAAAGAGAGCATCGCAATGGCGTATTTACCTCTTGAACTCACGGAACTCGGATCCCGGGTCGAAGTGGAGCTCTTGGGAGCCAAATGTCCCGCAACGGTAGTAAAAGAACCACTGTTCGATACAGAACCTGTGCGCACAAGACGGCTACTAAAAGCTGCCAAATTAACCAAAGGAAAGACTGCTATATAATGTAAAGCAGACCGCAAAGCACAATCATCTCACCCTCCACCTCCCCCCTCCCCACCGTTAGACAGAATCTTCTTCCTGTTCCTAGGTTCCAAAAAAATAGCCCGTTAACGATTGAACGGCTTTTTGTCTTCGCAACAGGAGAGTTAAATAATTCAGCAACACATGCTTCTGACCAGAAGGCTTCTTAGAAGATTTCATCTTGACCGAATAAAAACGGTGTGTGCCTGTTCATTATGCGCAACTTCTAATGTTTATACATCGACACCCCATTTCGGTTTGGAAAGAAATTAATCAAGCTGAATTGTGTAGATACTTTTTAAAGAAATAACTGAACTTATTAAAAACTAGATCATTGGATAATGTAATTCTAGACTTTTTATTGGCTTAGCCATTATGGTATATTAGCCAATATACCATAATCTACAAATATGGCAAGCGTACGTGTCAGCTTAAAATTAAAAGGAGCCAAAAATTTAATAAAATTTAATAATTTAATTCAACGGTTTTAGTAAAACAATTATTCCACTCGCGCTTGTTGGATATGAGATGATTATAGCCAACTCGGCGCTACGCGCCTTGTTGGCTATCTATCATCTCATATCCAACACGTGCTCGTGGAATAATTGTTAATTACACCTTGTCGATATTCAGTACTTTGTGTGATTTTGATGCTGCATGAATGTCATGTAAATAGATGATTGTAAAAGTGTTAAACCTGGCTCAGAGTTTATGAATAGACTTCTCCAGCAAAACAAATAAATGTTTCAAGCAAAGCAAAGGTAAAAAATGTCATCTTTTATTATGCATCTTTTAACTCTTACAGCACACTTTCATAATTTTTATTTAATTTTCAGATGTCAAGGCATTGGCGCTTCTGCGAATAACCATAGCACACCAAAGGCGTGTCAGTGATTAAGACACCGCTATAATTAAGCTAAACGAGTTTATGTGAAGAAGTTCATTGAGATAGTTCCCAATTAAAATTTATAACTACCCAGTAATCCCATGGATCAAATCCTAAATTATGACAAACTCTTTCTTTTTTAGCGTTTTAACAAAAAATCTGATCACGCAATAAGGCATTTAATGTCCCTTCAAAAACCTATTTAGTAAGCTGACTCAGCAAGGTAAGACTTGGAACAAGCCAAGATTATTGCAATCTGAACACGAATACTCAGTTTCAGGCTTGAGTGCTAGTGCGTTTCTGCGCGTGCTGCAAGCTTATGCACTTCTTCATCTGTAGTCAGAGTCTTCTGCTGAATCATATTCTTGTCTGTCACCTTAAGATTTCCCCACTGAGAATCCAGCTCGCGTAAAGCGCTACTAAACGGCCGACCACTAGTAGGCTGCAAGTTTTCCCAGTGAGATCGGCGAGCCCTGAAAATCATCAACAGTATTTTTTTTTTTCAAAACTTCAGCTAATTTTTAATTTCTTTTTTATATCAGTCGGACTTACCAAAACTTGTTTAGCTAAAAGTCTAAAATGTTACCATTGTAGGATCAGCATTTCCAAACAAATTATCAACGGAAGCACTTATTGAACTTTAGCCACCTTTACCCCTGAGATAGCATCTTTTTTTTTGGGGGGGGGGGGACCTCAACCCTCAGGCTTGCGGGATTGCGAGTGCCTATTGATCAAGCTTGTCAAACAAGTACCTTACATCACGCCACAATCCAGGGGTAATGTCTCACTTGGCCCTAATATGATTAAACCCCGGCAAATGTGCGGCTGGAAGTATTCTCCTCAGAGGCCAAGCTTTCCATCCCAACTTACCTTCGCTTGGTTTAATCTCTGGAGTATCGTCTTACCTGGCTCTTACCCAAGGATAGGTGTGCTGCCGTAAGGCGTCACCCCATGGGGAATGCTTCTCGCTGGCGGGAGGTAATTTACCTCGTTCTTTTGCAAGCTGATAACAACAACAAAAGATGTTAAGTCTAAATTAAAGGTTAAACTATCTCATTTCCTATTTGTCAATGAAATGCATAATATACAACAAAGATAGTGGAATGGCTTGCTAGAAAGGAAGCTTTCAAACTCAGCCATTTGCATTCACGTTTTCATCCATTTTGTTCGACGATGCATTTTGCATTTTTCCTGCAAAAATGTTCGTGTAGAAAACACAGAACAAGGCTTTTTAGCGCCTGCACTTTGAGTTCTTCTTTTGTGGAGCTTGAATCAGAAATGCGCTTGACAAGCAGCTAATTAGATAGGACTTATTTTAAACGTTTACTATAATTTCTCCTAACGAGCCACCGTTGTCAGGTTGGTAATATCTACATTGTGGGACAAACGATTTTAATTTTATTCATCTTAGTTTATATTTACTCTTGACATGTGATCACAGACCTCTTCAGCTATGGCTCGAACGTGATACGGCTCCATTCCACAGCATGCTCCAATGTATCGAATACCTATATCATAAGCTTCACGAGCGTACTTGTACATGTCAAAACGAGTCAGCAAACGAGTCTCCATAGCTAAAAGAAAAGGGAAAATAAATAGTTTTTGCGCCGATGGAATGAGTCAAACAGGAAAATATCTTGGAAATAAAAGTTTTAATTTAAATTACTAATACACCAGTATTATATTAGGAGCAGTGAGGTACACTTTCTAGCTTAATCAAGTGGTTCTGGCCTCCACAGTTTGTGATCGGTCGCAAGCCGATGTGGCCCTTCAAATTAAACACGAAGGCGCGCTATATAAGGAAGTCTTCCCTGGGAAGACCTAGGCTCATTTGTCAATCACCGTTGACGTGTGCGGGTCAAATTTAAATGCTGGTAGACGAACAAAAGGAGCTAATGAGATATCTATTTACTTCCACCAGCATGGTGGCATGAGGTAACGTGCGAACCACCTACTTCGATCTCAAATTTACCGCCACAAATAAAGACGGTTTCCATCGGAGAAAGGAAGTACAAATCTCAAAAATTCTTGTATTGTGATGAAGACATAAAACAATTTTGAGGAATGCGCCCGCTGTTCACTGCTTTGGAGTAGCTGTAGCTCAAGCTGACTTGCCTCTAAGAGTTCTACATCACACGACGGTTGATTGACAAATGGCCTAGTGGGACCAGAGGCTCCTTTTATAGCGCGCCTTCGTGTTTAAAGTCCATTCCTTTTCACGTGCCAAAGCTATGGCCAATCAGAACAAGAGGTAAACCTTATGAGGGCCTATGAGAATCAAAGAGCGGAAACAATGAAAGTACCTGAGAGGAGGTGCAGGGTAACACAGTCATGACCAATAAATCTCAGCATCTGATTGGTTAAGAACAGTGACAGAATGAAGTAAAGCAAAACCACACGCATTCCAGATCACTCTCGACAGTCAATTATTAAATTGCATTATCGTTTATCAAACCTAAAGGAAACTCCGCCAGTCCTGTAATCCCCATCCTTCTGGCTGGGTTGGTGTGGTCCTGACATTCCGGTGTCTTGTAACCCATTGGCTGAACAATCAAATGGCGTTTGAGTCCTTCATTTTCCAAGGCCTGTTTCATAATCTTCATAGTTTCCAAGCACACGTCCGGGTCATAGTAACAATTGACACCTATCATGTCAGCACCTGCAAGAAAAAAACAACGACAACTGCAACATTTTATAATTCAAGGTAGCTTTTTTCTTCCTTCTTCCCTTTTATTAGCCAAGAGCTTACCACGTGACCTGCATTTCACTGCATACAGTCGAACCTATGTTATGTGGTACCGTATTAAGCGGTTACCCTGCATTAAGCATTCGGTTGTCAAAGTCTCGAAAAAAACGGGAGAACATTCATGCGAGTAAAGCATCGAAGGAACGACAAAGAAATGCTTCAGTAGTGGAGTTCCAAATAACTGTTACCTGCTTTAGCGATTCTCACAGCACACTCTTCAACAGACACTCCCTCCAAATCTCCGGCAGAACAGATATTAAGGCACATGGCAATCGGTTTTCCTGTGGTCTTCATTACTTCAAGGGCCCATTCTGCCTCCTCTACATAAAAAAACAACTAACAAAGACAATTCGAACCATTAATATGAAAACGCATGAAATCTGCTAGCGGGAATAAGGTAATTAACCTCCCTTACTGACGCGTATAAAATCCAAAAATTTCTGATGTACATTTTACATTCCCTAGATTAACTATGGTTCATGACAGAGGACCATGTGCTGCAAATAGGATAATTCATGTCCAATATGGAAAGCCATGAAAAAGGAAACCAAAGTTATTTCAAAATCACCATCAACAGAAACGTCTTGTGTTTGTTTCCTGGTTAAAACACTGATCATGATGAAGTAAAGTAAGGCGAGTAAAGATGTAAGGTTACCTCTCCGATCAGAAAATCCACGTCATTCTTGACAAAAATGTCGATTTGTTGCTGGAACTCTTTCTGAACAGCTTCTTTACCAAGTCCTGACATATATGAGGGTGTTTGGCAGATGTTACCTGCAACGAGGGCATCGCCCTCGTTGGCCACTTGACGCGCGAGATCACAAGCGGCTTGATTGATGCGCTCACACTAAAACAAAACGTACAAAGACAACTCGATCACAGTTAATTCTTAAATCATTACCTTAAATTGATTTAAAAGAAACTTCTGCTAAACTGTTCTTACCCCAATCGTCTCGGAAGCCGTATTACCACGATTTCGTAACTTGTCATCACTGGCGTAGAAAGTGAAGGTCTGCATCACATCAGCGCCTGCCCGGAGAAACTCTCTATGCAGCTGTAGGACTAAAAAGGAAAAAAAATTTAGTAAGGAAAATTTCTTCAACCATTGGAACAACAACAACAAAAACCCGATTTCATTTTTCGGTTTCTCTACATCTCATTTCCCATTGCCCATAATTTATCCCTCATTCCTTATTTTTGATGTCCCTTCTTCTCTTTTTCATTCATATTTGACGACAAACATTCCCACACCCCGATCGAGTCTTTCTAATCTGTTTTTAGTTTCCCATTTTATTTTCCATTTTTACATTCTCAGCCCAACATTTAAGCTTTTCCAGTCCTCATTCTACTTTTCCCATCCTACCATATAAATTATTCCTTTAAAATCCTCGTTATAAGATTCCTCTCTCTGGTTCCAACTTCCTCTTGCGCGCTATCCATCCCACGTTTTCTATTGAGTGCTAGTCTATCACTGGCACTCAATATTATTCATATTACAGAGGCCGATTTTTTCAACAATTTTCCATTTGCCTCCATCCATTCCCTATTCCCTGTTCCTCCCTTTATGCTCTTTGTACTCCAACCCCTGTTCCCGACCTTCATTTCCCATTCTCAAAACTCCATTCTCCTTTCTCCTTTCCCCGTTCCCCAGGTTCTTGCGTTTCCCAGGCTTTGCTGTTCCCGAGATTCTCCCGTTTCCCAGGTTTTCCCGCCACCAGGTTCCCCTATTCCCCAGGTTCTTCCGTTCCCTAGCTTCCCCCGTTCCCCAGCCTCCCTCCCCCCATTATCAGGTTTCTCATTTACCCGGTTGTACAGCTCACCGGTTCCCCTGTGTCCCGTTCCTCTACGTTCCGTTCTTCCATACTCTCGTTCCCCCCCCCTTCCCGTTCGTATGTTCCCTGTTCCTCCCTTTACCCATTCGTTCGTTTTTTCTTTCCACTGTTGTTCAGATAATCGTTTTCCTTTACCTGACCCCTTTCCTAACTAATAACCTGGCGTAGTTGATCAAACTACTCTTGAATGTCCGGAGTAACAGTGTTTTGTTTTTTTATTTTTTTGGCGTTTCAACCCAAACATTGTTCAGGATTGACTTTATCTGCCTCGCGCGACGATGTAAAAAAAGTACGAGTAATATGCAAATTAGTTTAAACATTAGTGCCACCTTCCCTTTTTGCCCCTTTTAAATCCATTGACTGATGAATCACCTGATGATAAAAAGCTGTCAAATTCTTCTTGGAGATTTAAAGGGTAACACATAATATCACAAAAAGGAAAGTAAAATTTCCAAGACAAATTTGGGAGACCCATGTAATTTAAACAGGGCTCCAAGTAGCTTTGCTTTAGAACACCGTTCTCCCGCTATTAAGAAAAAGTCGCTTCATGCCAGACCTTTGATGCTCTTTTTTCGCAAGTGGTTGTGTTTTTCACCTTCTATACTATAAAACAACCCCGCTTGTTTGTGCTGATGAAATGTACTATAAACGACTTCTTAACTCCCTCCCATCTTCCTCCATCAAAGAATCCCGTTTATTTGCAGGGACAAGTCATGATCGTCTCCACAACAAATGGTGTTACCATATGAAGGAGTAAAAGCTGGACCAGGGTTCTTCAAGTTCTTAAAAGAGCTGCTGGTCCAAATTATTGACATTTTTCTCGGTCATTTTTGTATTAGGGTTCATGCTCCTTCTTTTTTTTTTCATGCGCAGGCTACAAGTTCTCTCTCAAATTTGCGCGCGATCGATTACGTGCCAGATTATAGACTGCAAGTTACAGGTGCAAGTGACTGCATTACATAAATAAAGTTTTCCTGCTCAGTCTGCATTCATGGAAACCATTGTTATAGAATGAGACCTAGACTCGGATGGCGTGATTTGTGCGCAAACCGAAATCATAAACGATTTTAACCAATGAGAGATGTGAAGACATCTGAGAAACCTCATATAAATGTGTCATACACAACTGGACGATTGGTTTTGATCCCCAGCTTCTGATCCCTGAGGTCACCCTTTTTCTATCAACAGACTTCTGTGAAGTCGTAGATACCATGCTATCTAGCAGGCAGTGTGAGCTAGTGCGCACTCCGATTGCATTGTATTGTGGTAGCGTTGTTTTCAATATGGCGGTAAAAGAGGAAGAAATCGGCAGATTTTGACTGAACATAAAAGTTAAGCCATTTCTTCTCCCTTTCGCTATAGGTAAATACAATTTGATATATTCTGAGTGTGTAGAAGTATTTTTCGCACGTATTTGTCACCTATTCTATCGTTTTCAAGGACAAACGCAAGCACTGTTTTTTAGCATGTAATTTGAGACCGGTTTTCGAGAAGGTCAAATTTGTTGTACGTCGTAGTTTGAAGCCTTTCAAAGATTCGTATGACCACTTTGATCCTTCCTCTACAGCTATGACCAAACGCACTCAAACGCACTCAAATGGTACAAATGTTTTATGCATTTTAATTGATAGTGTTTCAGATCCTTTTGTGGAGCGAAAAGGCCCATTGTTGCGTTTAGTATGTTGCGTTACATAGCGTTACTGCTGCAAGGACATTTATTGTTTTTATTACACGAGTCGGGCAGTCAGAGGGCCAATAACTAAAATCAACCAATCAAAATGCTCTATTGCTGGTCCAATATTCTCCAGGTATTGGACCGGGCACTGTCCCGAATAGTCCCGAATGATACCGCATTTGTGTCCCTTTGAACTTCAGTCGTATAATAAATCTCTTATTAACCAAGTTTGCTCGGGACCATACTGGAAGAATATCGGCTCTCGGTCTTTTTTGTACGGACCTCGCTGCGCTCGGTCCGTACTGTCAAGACCTCGGGCCGATATTCTCCTAGTACGGCCCTCGCGCTTGGTTAATAAGATATATGTACTCAATCGTGTTGTAGATTTACTCGCCCTCACTGAGGGAAAATTAACTAATTGCGAGTGTCGTGTGGTAAATCTTCTATCTTGATAATTGAATGAAGGGCAGTTTAATTAGAGCAATGAAAAGAGTCCCTTGATCCATGAAAACTTCTACCTTGCATGAGGCGAAACGCCGGAAGGCCGGAAAGCAAAAGACAGTCGACCGTTGAAAGGTGTTACCATTCGCTTGCACTTTTAAATCTTCTACCCTCAAAGTCTAGGTCTTATTTGGATATCTCTTGATGAGTTTCGTCTGCGATGTAATAAGAGGGGTCAGTTTTGAGGTGTTACAAAAGGCAACATTTTCTTCTGTGCACGCGCTATTTTCTTTGTTTAAAAGTACACTTTTCTCCTGCAGAAATAACTCAGAGATATCGTTTCTCAAAACCCTCATCTAGGAGGCGTGAGGTTTCTCCTTTTACAAATCCCGTATTTACGCTTGGTGGAAAAACTTCTTGTTTTACAAGGTCTCTGTCTTTTTAATATGCGTTTGCATGTCAAGGGTCAATTCCCTGTTAAATAACTCGCGTCTAGGAATATAATTTCTGACTTTGAAATTATTCATCCCGCCATCGGTTGTGAGTGTAACTGTTGCCATTTGTGTCGAGATTCGGCAGATTGTAGTTTCGAATCTTTCTTAATAACGTCAGTTGCCTCCCAATAACGAATTCGTCACGGAAAAATGACGGGGAATCGCGCAGGCCCGTCAAACTTTTTAAATTTCGAAGGAACGGCAACAGACAGTGAATCCCCATTATACATCGCTGCCACCAAAGAAGTTCACTTCAACGCATCAAGATGGGAATGACCGTTTTACGACCATGATGCAACGAAATCAGAGTGCGTACATCGCCTGTCCAGAGGGTAAGTCCGTCCGTTCGTAGCCTGCGAAGCAAGCCCTGGGGGAAAGGATGGGGATTGGGGGGAGCGGAATGTGCGGAGGGGAAAGGGAGGCAGCACATCGTCCGCACATTCCGCTTTACGACCATGATGCAACGAAATCAGAGTGCGTACATCGCCTGTCCAGAGGGTAAGTCCGTCCGTTCGTAGCCGGCGAAGCAAGCCCTGGGGGAAAGGATGGGGATTGGGGGGAGCGGAATGTGCGGAGGGGAAAGGGAGGCCGCACATCGTCCGCACATTCCGCTCGCCCCAATTCCCCTCCCCTCCCCCAGGGCTTGCTTTGCAGGCTAACCGCAGTTCAAAATATATTCATCGTATCTGATTAAAAATATTTACAAAACTCTTGAAGCCACTTCCAAATGTAATTCTTAAATCTACTCTACGAAACCGGCAAACTACGCCTTCTGGATTAACTTTTGGCTTTATCCCTCTCTTAGATTTTGATACCAGATTCTCCTTGTCGTCTGACATTTCTCGCTCACGTGGAGCAAGTTTTATTTGTTGTTTTGACAGTTTGCATAGTTCCCTGAGCTCTCGCTAATGGCGCTTTCTGATTGGTTAATTTTAAGAGGCGCTGATTGACACATGCAAGACGATATGAATATGAAAATAGGGGGCGTTTCGTTAGTTAGTGGGGGTCTGTGGCAAGCCCTCCCTTTCCCCTCCGCACATTCCGCTCCCCCCAATCCCCCTCCTTTCCCCCAGGGCTTGCTTCGCAGGCTATTCGTAACGATAGAAACCTTTGGATAATGCTCGGAATTCAGTTCGGCCTTCTCCGGTATCGTCCGATTTTCCAATCTCGCGTCGGCGATCGTGATCGCAATTATTTGTCTGCTGCAGGTTTCGTGTGGCATTGCTGCGATTATTTGCTCCGCAAAAGAAATATTTTGCTCCCCAAAGGAGTTTTTCTGTCGCATTGCTGCGATTATTTGTTCTTCGATGGAGTTTTTACTCAAAAATCGAGATAAAAGATAAAAATCGCTCAATATTTTCGCACGTGTGCCAATAGACATGCGGATCAAACTTTAAAGTGAATATGTGTGAAGAGATCTCAAGTTTGTTAGGAAGCAAGACGAAAATGACTAATACCAGGTCACAACTGGGTCATTCCTTAAAATAATATCTGTTCCCCCCAAAATAAGAAACTGGTGTTTGATTAAAATTAGCCAACACAGATCAATCAACTATAAATAATCCCGAAGATATTTTTGATCCCTGTGACCAGATTTCCACTGTGCATATGCTGAATAATCGACACAAACGAGTAATTCTCGAAAACAAAAGGAAAATATCTCACCTGCTTCTGGATGCTCCACTGTAGCTTCTGGTGTCCACACTCCCGCTTTTACATAGCCCCTTCTCTCCATACAGAACAAGAAGCCCCCATCTCCTACGATAACCTCGCCTGCATCAAGACGCTCTAAAATCCCTCGCTTTGATGAAGACATTGCTTAAACCGAGATGTTATTTCGGGAAACGTACATTCAAGTAAACAAGCGTAATGTTGAAAAATATGTGGAAGCTACAATTAGGTAAATTAACTGACTGATAACTAGTGTTTTCGAGTTCAAAACAAGTTGCAACTAGTTTTACCAGATATAACCAGATTGTCTGCTACGTCTTTTTTATTTGTTCCAAAAACTTTCAAAACATTGTCACGCA